TCTATTCTATTCTATTCTATTCTATTCTATTCTATTCTATTCTATTCCATTCCATTCCATTCCATTCCATTCCATTCCACTCCACTCCACTCCACTCCACTCCACTCCACTCCACTCCATCGTGTAGTCATAATTTGTGAGTTAGAATTTAATTTGTGAATTGGCCCAGATTCTGTCAGCCCTTTGGAAACAAGGAAGGAAGAAGCCATTTGCTTATTTTCTCCCAAATTAAGAAGGAACAGGAGAAACAGAAATACCTGAAAAGCAGCAACACAGCTTGTGGAAAGGTCTGGAAATTATTGTTGCGATTGATGGCTGTACTATCTTGCATAGCTATTTTGCCAAAGGTCTGAAAGACAAGGAAGCCAATTTCAGGTTGTGACAAGACACAACAAATAAAAACTCTAATGTAAAATGTTTCCAGGTGCACATAATTCAGACTTCCTTGCATTCTGTCTCCTTTATAAGATCAGAGAATAAATACAATATTTCTGCTATGTTGCTAGAAGTGCAGCTGGATGATGCTTCTAGAATATAGCAAGAGCTAATTTTCTGGCTCCAACCTATTAAGCTCTACCTTAGATGGCAGTAAATGTTTCTTGGGGACATTATTTAATCTGCATGCTGTAGAAACATAGGTAGTACTTAGCCTGATTGGGACACCTACACACCTACAAATATCTGTTGCATGCACATCGTTGCCTTGCACAAAGAAAAGAATCAAATCTTTCAGTTCTGATAATACAGGGCCTCATACGAAGGTGCAGAATTCTAGCTCCTACCCCCATGAAATGCCTACAAGTCACTCAGGTTTGTTCAAAGATTCATTTGCAAGAAAAAAATGCAGCGAGGAAGATTCTCTGCTCACCTGCATGCCAATGACAGCGTAGATAAAGAAAATCATGGCAATAAGGAGGGCCACATATGGCAAAGCCTGGATGGGAAAAAAAAACCCAGTAGTGAATTTGGAGAAATAAGTCTGCAGCTGGGGGTAGATCCTCCTGGTTTGACGCAAAACCAGTGTTTAACGCTCCTGTTAGCACGTTTCCCAAGCATGTTCTTTCCTTCCTACCCTGCTAGAACAAAGTATGCAGCAATTTTAAGTCTTAGATTTAAGGCAACGGTTACTTTCTCATCATTCCCCTTCTGACCTGGAAAGATTTGATGAAAGTCCAGAGGAGGGTACGGATACCCTCACCTTTGCTGAGGAGCTTGACCAGGCGCATGACACGGAAGAGGCGGAAGAAGGTGATAGAGATACGGGAACTGTCCTCTGAGCTCTGTGGAGTTGAGGGGAATGGGGTCAGCAAGAGGTTAGAACAAGCAGCCCCGTAATAGAAACATATGTGTGCACATCACATAGGGCAACATACTAAATCCACCCCACCATCTTGCTGAATCTGTACAGCTTCATCTAGTCCTGTAATCAGCTTTCAACTGGGAGCAGCAGCCATGACAGCGATGGCCTTCTCCTGTATTCTGCTCCAAACAGTAGAGTTTAGAGGTATGACGTTGCCATTGTACATGAGGCTCCCGTTTAGTTATCATAATCAACACATGCATTTTGTCAGACAAACATAGTTGTATATCTGCAAATACATGGGAAGTAAGCTCCATTCCCTTGGCCACCAGCATCTACCTCCAGGAAAGTCTGAGCAGCCCACAATCCCACAATATATTGGGTATAGCTATGTCTCCCCCTGCTTGCACAGCTAGCTGCCTGTTCTGTTCCTAGTCCAGACAGTTCTCTGGTCTAGGATTAACAGAACAGAGCTGAGTAGTTGCTAGGCAACTGTGCCACTTTCCTTTTTCCTGCCTCCATCTGCAGCAAAGATGGAGGTCCCAGAAAAAAAAAGAAAGATGAAAGGAAATCCTTAGCTATAACTTGAGGCAATGGTACCAGTGGAGCCAAATTGCCATTATTCAAGACCAACCTAAAAAATAATAACATTGCATGTATTGTTGGCAAGACCAAAATGATACCCCCATACTATTTATTTAGTTATCTTTGCCCAACAACGTCTTGCATTCCTTTCCCAAGCCCTCCACCACTTTTCGTCAGTTTGGTCCATTTAGATTCCCCAGCCAGTGCGATCCCAATGGGAACTTCACATCTGGGAGGCACAAAGTTATACGATACAGTGGCTAGGAATGATTTCTCTACCATGTATAGGCTTATTTGCTTATTTTATATGTAGTGCCCCAAAATACATATTTACAACGCACATTGATACATCTACTAAACCCTGCCTGAATTTAAAGACATTTATTTTATACAGTAGTTTACAATCCCTATGATAGGCTTGTCACATCAACATTTATAACTTCATGCTTTATCACAGGCCTGTTTCATTCCTTCTAGCCCAGGGGTTCCCAACCCCCGGTCCACAGCCCACTACCGGGCCATGGCCTATTAGGAACTGGGCTGCATGAGTGGTGGGCTGGCCTGCGCATGCACATGCAGCTTGACTTGTGTGAGCGGCGGGCCAGTGTGCACTTGTGTGCCCATGCACATGCCAGCCCGCTGCTCCCGCAAGTCAAGCTGCATGTGCATGCGCTGTCCTCTCCCTTGTGCGACCTGGTTTCCCTTCATCCTGCCCCCGCAGCCAGGCCACCAAGGTTGGGGACCACTGTTCTAGCCTACATCTCTGGCATACATCTCTGGCATCTCCAAGGAGCTTAGAGCAAGATCTTACTTTCACAACCCTTGAAATAAGGCAAGTAAGAATGACCCTGTGAACTGAATGAGGATTTGAACCTATGCCTTTCTTCTTGTAATTTGGCACTCTAACCACAACACCAAATCAATCCCACTGTGGATTTTGTCACAGTCATTGCTTCTATAAATACATAACTCAACTTTTCTGATTCATGGGGTAATATCTCACACTATAGCTTCCTTTCTGTTGGAGGTAAGGAATCACAACATGATTGAAGATATGGTGGAGGTACATAAGATCAAGCCAATTTTGTGTCTCATAATATCTAGCGCATGAAAGCAGCAATGCAGACAATATATGGAGGAAAAAAGAAACAGGAGGACAGAATCCAGAGATAGAATCCAGAGATGAGTAAATAAAAGACAAAAAATTCAGAAAATAAAAGAACTTTGGAACATGTTATACTGTATATCCCCAAAACGTATTCATTTCTTGCATAAAGAATAACTACAACAAAACATGGAATAAAAGCTCTGGAGAAAATTGATTTTTGTTTGCTTTGTTATTTCAAGGCTCAAATCTAGCCTCAGTTATGAAAAATGAATGGCTAATGTTGGTCAGTCATTCTCTCTTGCTGATCATAGGATTGTATACTGAGAGAGAATTGTTAATGATTTGGAAGAATAAAAGGAAAGGGAACCCATGTAAGCTTTGTTAAACTCCTAGAGAAAAGGCAGGCTATCCATCTAACAAATAATATAGCAAATAAATAACAAAAGCAAATTCTTAGCCTTTGTGACAGCCAGGAGCTATATTTGAATTACATAATCAGGGGAAAAAATATCAGGTGCAATTGTCCTTTCAGTAAATAACCACTCTACACGGGGCTGCTCTTGAAAATTATCTGGAAGTGTCAGCTGGTGGAAAATGCAGTGGCATGGGCAGTTAGCAGGGGTGGGATTCTACCGGTTCGCACCTATTCGCTAGAACTGGTTGTTAATATTCTCAGCAGTTCGGAGAACCAGTTAGAAGAAATTACTGGCCTAATCCTGTAAGGAAGGCAGGAAGGAAACATTCTGGTGTTGCCTCTCCATTAACTCCTATTACATTCTTGGCAGGCCTAGACTTCCTGTCTCAGGAACGTCTCTGGAGTTTTTTCCCCCTCCTTTGCTGGTACTTGGCTTGTGTGGAGTGACCATTCAAAGTTACAATGGCACTGAAAAAAGTGATTTATGACTGTTTTTCACACTTATGACTGTTGCAGCATCCCCACAGTCATGAGAGGCCAGGCGAGGAGATGCGTGCCTCGATGTGAGTGATATTGAGTTGGCCACGCCCAGCCAGTCATATTACCACCAAGCCACGCCCACTAAGCCATGCCCACAGAACCAGTTGTTAAAAAAATTGAATCCCACCCCTGGCAGTTAGGTATGCCCCAATGGTGGGATTCAAACATTTTTACCACTGGTTCGGTGGGTGTGGCTTGGAAGGCGCGCTTTGCGCACGTGCACTCACTTTGCGTGCATGCACACACGAAACATGCACCTTGTGCAGGCGCAGAGGTTTTCCAACTCACCTCCTGCAAGCCCGCACTCTCCCGGTCATTTCAGCAGCCGCCGCGCAGCACAAAGCAGCTGTGCTTCAAAAGCAGGGGATAAAGGTGAGTATGGGAGCCCGGGCGGGTGGGCGGGCCCAACAGCAGAGTGGCAGAAAGAACCAGTTCAGTCTCTGCTGCTCATCGGTGCTACCAGCTCGGCAGAACCGAGTCGAACCGGTAGAATACCACCACTGGTATGCCTCCATCCCATCAGGCCTGGCAGAGGTAAGGGCAAGTTACATTAGCCAAGGAGTTTTGTTGGGCGGGACCTAGAGAGGGCGCCTTTTCTGCCACGGCAGCCGCCCTTCAGAACATCATTCCTCCTGAAGTGAGATTGGCCCCAACACTGTTCACCTCCTGAATGGCCCTCTAAACTGGGTTTTGCCATCAGGCCTGGGGATTCCATGGAAGTGAGGAGCCTATTAAATGGGCATTATAATTTTAGACTGTGTTCTTCTCCCCTGTTTTTTGTTAGTTTTTACATTGTTTTTAACAGATAAACTATGTTGATTGTTTATCTTTTAACTGTGTACATAGTCCAGAATCAAAATTCAATCAATCCATAAAATAAGCATACAGTTATGACATATTTTGACTTTTTCAACAGCTGTTCTGCAAATGAACTTCAACACTGCTCAGATAGCTTCTGTGGGGCACATATCATATTGGGAATCACTCACGTTGATTTCAGTAACAGCAATGTCTACTATACTCCCAACCACGATCAAAGCATCAAAGGTATTCCATGCGTCAACAAAGTAGTGCTGCAAGAGAACAACAGAGAAAAGCTCCAGAAAGAGCCAGTCAGAACTAATTTACATCCACTGACCCACCCACACCTATTTTATCTGAGCAAAAATAGCATGGGCCTGTCCTATTCAAGTGGTTGGTCCCCTGCTTTCCCTTGGGCAAAATTCAAGGTAGAGCTTGGGTTATATAACGTCAAAATAACTGAAGCCCAATCTTGGGCAGAGCCTCTGCTTTCTACACATTTCTACACATTGTTCAGATGTGTAGTGATCCTGCTTCAGATTATTATTCATGTCACTGAGTAACCAGAAAGGGCATGCAACAAGGAAACACAACCCTCCCTTTCCAGAAGCTCTTTACCCATCTTAACAAAATTCAAACCTCAACAGTTCAATTTTGTCCTTTGGGGCTCAAGACTGAGAAGTGGGGGAAGGCACAGGGACAATATCTTATTCAGCATTAACCAACCTGAGTTGTTGTTATGGGTTGGCCTAAAAATCAAAATGCATTGATCACACATTTTTCACCGCCAGCACCATCACCACCTATTCTGCTTGAAAGTGTGATCTTAAAGGATAAAAAGTGTGTGTTGAGAGAAGGCTCCTGTGCTGCAATATTAAATGCTTCAGAACTTAATGCAAAGATGTAGGTCTATCTAGAAGGATATCCTAAATTCCTGAAGACAATACACACCAAATAAAGGCATTTTTACAGGCAAGGTTTAAAAGTGGAGGGCTCTACAGATCGGCAAAACCATATATTTAACAGAACCTGAAAGTTTGACAAATAACCTCACCTCCCTTCTCACATTACAACAGTAACTGAGCATACTGGAAAGAATGTGAGAATTTTCTTGAACACTGCACCATCAGGAATAAGGAGATCCTCCAAAGGGAGTTCTATTGAAAAACTTGAAACAAGAGTTCCTCTCAACAAAAAAATTGTTATATATGATGCAGAAGACTGACGTAAAAACTCTTAAGTATCTTAAAGAAAATCCTTCAAGATGTAATTAGTGATAACCTGGTATTAATCAAAGTGTTCTGGAGTTATGGGAAACAGTTCTCTATGTGTTTACTTTTGCAACACTCCCAAACCTTGGGCTTGAAGGCAATAATCTTCAGAAACATTTCAACAGTGAAGAGGCCTGTGAACACCATATTGAGCAGATCCATCACGTTATTAAAAGGCTCTGATTGTTCATAGTGCTGAAAGAAGAGATGAGACATGAATAATACAGGAGAATTTTGCAAATCTTGGTGATTCAAGTGGGGTTTGTTGAGAATCTCCTTATAATAAGAATGAATGCTGAACTCAAATGTATCTTTCCTGGGTTCTTTAGGGTTTTTTCCTCCTTGTTCCCACTCATATAGGTTTGTGCAAATTATTCTATGGCCTTATCTTTCTCACCTATTCTGCTGCTCTGCAGCTGAATCCCCAACTTCTGTGGCACCTCCAGCATCTTCATTTTCTTCATATGGCCTGGAGTGAATTTTCTCATAGTTTACCAATTCATTACACTCACCACTGAGGCCCCAAATATTAGTGTTACATATTTATTTTAGAACTATGTTTGTCTATTCACCTTCTCTTAAAGAGGAAATAACTGAGCGGTGCCTTTTGATATGTGGCACTACAAATTATGCTTCTCACCTGTACAGCCAAAGCAATAGTGTTCAGCAAGATCAGCACAAACATGATGTATTCAAAACAGGTGGAATTGACCATATACCAGAATTTGTACTGATATTTGTTCTTTGGAATATAGCGTTGTAAGGGTTGAGCCTTCAAGGCATATTCCACACATTGCCGCTACGGGAAAAGAAAAAGAAAGCAATTCAGCTGACCAGTAAGAGAGAACTCCCCCCCCCCCACACACACACACACTGCATCTTTTGCACATTTCTTCAGCAACACCCTGAACTGCTGGCTGCAACAGTTTTCACATCATAAAGCAACATTTTTCTAATTTTGTAAACCAAAGCCCCAATACACACGAAGAAGACTGGTATATGTCATATTCCACGAGTACTGAAATTCCTGATGCCATTTCCTTCTGCATATCCACTGACAAAATTCCAAATCCAATATTCCTGCACCTTTCCTGTTTTTTATTCTGTTATGAGGGGTTTTATTTAGCTTATGGCAAATACATGGACTTATAGTGGTTCAAATGTTAATCTCCAGTCCACCCACCCAGGGTGGTCTATGTTGAAAAAAATCAGGCATCAGGTTGGTATAAGCTCTTGATGGACATTTGGATACAATGTGATGGACATTTTGTTGAGGAGCACCACACTGAGGGGTAGAGACAAGACCCCACTTAAATGATGAGTCCTGGCAGGCACCATGTTGGGTACGGATCCTGTTCAGAGTTGACCAATACTGGCAAGGAAGATCAAAACCTGGCACCTTTTTGTGTAGGGTCATCTATGTAACTGCTGTATCTAGGTGTGTTCATCAGCCCATTTGGCTTTCCACTGTGTGTTGATGTCAAAGTTGTTAGACAGCTGTTGAGCAAGTGCCAGAGAGGGCTTCCTGGATTTAAGCCTGCCAATTGATAGATGAGGAAGATCGGCATGCACAGGGAGAAATGGGATTCTCAAAATTTCGTTGTGTTTCTTTACTAAGGCTTCCTGCCTTCGTAGAGCTGTTGGTGCAATGTGGCTCAAGATGGGGAGCCAGCAAGTAGTAGTAGATTTTATGCAACCGCTTATGAGAGTTGTTAATGTTAATGTTATGAGGGGTGTTAATGCTGGATAGGTGTTGTTTGGATCTGAATTATTACTAGGTGATCTGGTTATAAGCAATTCATGGGAAACATAGACAAAAGACTCTGATCAGACCTCATACCAAAAAGTTCTTGCAAAAATGATTATTTATTACTTTCAAAAATCTCAAGAGCTAAACTATAGTGTTTTTCCCTTTGTTCTGCCTTTTTTTTAAAATAAAAGGAACCCAAAATGGCTCACATGACTGCCACTTTTTCCAATTTGCTATGGCTGCATATTCTCCCTCAATAAATAAATACAAATAATAAAACATACATGACTTTTCAAACTCCATTTCCTTTTCCCAGTGATAACACTTTTGTATTGATGTATATTATTAGAATGCATCCTAAACTTGATGAATAATGGATTGTATTTATTAAGGAATGTTCTCAGAACAAAAACAATTAATAAATAGGGTAAAACAATACTTCAGAAATGAAAATCAATCTTTTATTCAGTATTGAAAAACTGGAAGAGAACCATCTCATTCTTCTCAGTATAAAGGGCAAAACTGAGAGGGGAACTAATCTGATCCCCATTAAAGATAGGCAAAAGGGATATACAGTAGCAAACTCCTTGATCGCTGATGTGAAGGAGTAATTATGGGAGTAAGCTAATCTTCCCTAATCCGAGACTTTCTAAATACGACGGAACTGTGTGATATCAGGAATTCTCAGCCAATGTGGCTTTCTTACAGTTGCAATCCCAACACAACATGCTGATTACTAAGTTGGGGAAAGGTGGACTTAAGCTAATGTCATTTGGAGAAGGAAAAAAAGGGAATTAGAAATGTTATTTCAAAAGCAAATACAAGGAGTTGGGTATTGGAATGCTACCTGGTTCTTGTCCAGCTCACAGTTTTTGTATTCCTGCTCTCCTTGGGCCCGGAAAGTGATGATGACAAAGCCCACAAAAATATTCATCATGAAGAAGGCAATAATGATGATGTAGACAATGAAGAAGATGGAGATCTCCACCCGGTAATTGTATATTGGTCCTTGGTTTTCTGCATAGGCATCAATAGCTTTGTACAAGAGCCTGGCATAGGTTAGATAGTGGCAAAGAAAGTGTAAGAGGGTGCATAGCGGGAATGGAGAAATAGAAATTGTTTTTTTTTTTAAAGACCTTCAATCAATGCCACAGTACGAATACTCCTGAGAACTGGACACTGGGGATTCAGGGGAAAACATTCTGCCCTGCTTGTAATACTTTGCGGAAGCACTTAGCAACTGATTTGGATACAACACTCCAAATTGGGGTCATGACTTGTCAAACTTGCTAGAACCCAGATGAATTTCTGTCATCTGAAGAATGGTCTGGACAAAGCATGATGGTTGACTACTGCAATCAATGAGGACATACTTGAAGTCCCAAAAGACTTGAGCATTTTCTCTCTTCAGAAAAGATTCAAACCAATAATTACAGAATTCAGGGTTATCTGCTGGTTTGTGACCAAATAAAGATGGATTGATTGAATTCAAGGTTCCAAATAAGTTCAGAATGTAAGATATTGTTCAGATATTCTATATTACATGTCCCCCATCTGAGTCAGCATATCTGCTCAAGAAACAAAGGAAACCAATGCAATTCCATCAAGTTCTGTTGAAGTCTCATCCTGCAACCTAATTTTCAGCCTGAACAGAATCACATTACTCTTATTGCTGCTTTTTCATGATGACCCACTTCCTCTGGATTCAGATTGTCAGGAAAATAAATAAATACTTACATACATACCCACCCTGGGATAAGCAACATTACAAAAAGCACAGAAAAGAATTATTTATAAAAATAATAGGCTGGATTTATTAAAAAAAATCAGCCAAGATTCAATTAAATTCTTAAATCCTCTAGCACTTTGTCTATTTCTATCTGCTATCTCTATCTAAGAGCCACGGTGGCACAGTGTTTAGAGTGCAGTACTGCAGGCTACTTCTGCTGCCTGCCAATTTGAATTTGGCAGTTCCAATCTCACCAGGCTCAAGGTTGACTCAGACTTCCATCCTTCTGAGGTGGATAAAATGAGGATCCAAATTGTTGGGGGCAAATTGTTGGGGGCAAAGCACTGCAAAGTGGTATATAAATCTAAGTGCTATTGCTATTGCTTTTTGAAGCCTGGAATACCACCATGAAACCCAATGGGGCACTTCCACTCCCTTGGTTTAACCAAACACAGTCTTTTTTATAAGTATTCAAAAGGCAAAGGGAGAAGGGAGAAGGAAAGAGAGGAGAGAATTTTTGTGTGTGGTTTTTGTAGTCATACATCTATCTCTGTTCCTGAAAAGAGGATGAGAAAACACCAAGTACCTTTCATTTTGGAGCTAGCGGAACATATTCTCTTACTACACCTCTGAGCTAAGCAAGAAGTATCTAAACAGCTGCTTAAAGCGAAAAAAACTAAGACATCTGGGAATGGCAAACATCAAATAGACATGCATGCACTCCGAGCACAACTTCTACAGAGTAACTCACGCTGGCCATCCTTCAAAAGTGGAGACAGTGAAGAGAGCCATCATGCCTGACAGCACATTGTCAAAGTTGAACTCACTGTTGAGCCACAAGCGCTCACGCACCATTGGGTGAGCCACATCTCCATCCTTGTACACAATGAATGTGCCTCTGGATTTGGAAGGAAGGGAAGGAATGGAAAATGGACAGAAGAAGGAATATGATATTTTTGAATCGATTGGATCGTAGATTATTCGTATCTATTGAATTTGCATACGTACATTTAAAATTACTGATAACTGCTTTTTTAAGCAGTTTAAATATGTCAAACAAACAAACAAGCAAGCATTTATGTAATAGAGCTACAAAGAATCTGTAATTATCTGGCAATTACTGGTAAATCATGCTAATCCCAAATTTTAGCTTTCAGCTCTGATCTCACTAGAACTACACCTGGGGACCAATCATTAATGTAAGCATGAATAGAGTTTTTGTCATTCTGCTACTAGTAGTAAACAGTAGCACAGTTGGAAAGCTGGAATCAGCAGTGTTCACAAAGGGCCTAAAATGAATCAAGGAAACATGGCAGGGACTATAGGACCAGGATCAAATCCATTTTTTTCTACTCCATTATTTCAGTGCAAAGCTACAACACTGATGCTACAGGGAATTATTTATCTGTCTTCTACTTATGTACTCTCATTAGAGCAGATTTTATACTTACTTGCACTCAATTGGGGTATGCTTGGCCTCATCTGTGCAGCTATAGAATTTGCCCTGAAGATACAAGGATAAAAAAGGTAGGCAGTCACAGGAGACGGATTTTTCTTGGAAAACTATCTGTCTAGTCTCTTGGAGCTTACTGAAATTCAGAGGAAATGCTTTATATATCAGTTCAAATAGGAAAAGCCTTCAAACAGAAGACTAAAGTTCTTCATTTTGAGCAGTTGTGAGGTCCTTTCAATCTATGGACTAGGTATTGAGGTGAGTGCCTCCCCATTCAGTCCAAAGAATCCCTTATGTATTTCCATTTGTGCCACTATCATTATATATATCACCAACTCTTTAGACTATATTATAATATTGTCTTTGGTAAATATTCCCAATAATACTGTGAATCTTAGATGGCTGGTTAAGAAGGATGAAATATAAATTATTTTAATATCCTGATTTATACAGTCAATCAATCTACCTATCTACTTACCTACCTATCTACCTACCATATATACCACTAGAATCCCAAGATCCTAGCAATTTTCAATAGTAAAAAACCACTATGATGCAACATAGATAAAAACTTGTTTAATTAGGATCAAATCAGTTATGGATATAATTTCAACCATCAGGCAAAAACATCAGTAGAAGGCAACTTCCATTTGCAAAGACTTGTACAATATCTCTAACTTTGCAGCTTTTTACAAATATGCTAAGAATATCACTATTATAATCTCCACTGGAAGACATTTCCCTAAGTTGGTTACCTTAACCAGGAAACATTATCCCTGGGCCACACCAATTTTACTTCATGTGCAACATTTCCATCCAGGTCAAATATACTGAACTGGTTGTTTCTGCCTGGAGAAGAAAGTTATGCTTTCCCCTGTACCCAGAGGCCTACTGGCAGATAGGCCATGCGGCATTCAACATACAGATGCAATTCTGTCATAATAACTTTCAACCTTCAGCATGGGTGCTGCTGCATTCTGAACTAGCTGCAGCTTCTGAGTAATCTTCAAAGACAGCCCTTTGTCATGCATAGTATCCGTAGATGGAGAAGAGGCATGAATTTCTGTTGCCAGATCCTCCTGTTCCCGGGCCATGAATGATTCATCAGGTAAAGCTAGACCAAGGCACCTCTGGCCACAGCTCTTACCTGGCCATCAAGCAGCAGCTATGAATTCAGGAGAATGCTCAGCTCATGGCTCTGCTCCTTTTATTCCATCTACAGCAACTATTTGCAGCAGACATAGCCAGATGGTCTCGTTTTGTTTTGATTGAAGCTGTTCTGGCTTCATTTCATGAAAATCTCCAGCACTGAGTCAGGATCTTAACATTTCCCATTTAATTCGGCATGGCAATGTGTAACTGGATATATCTCCAGCTTAATGATACCTCATAATGAACCAATGGATGTACACTCTCATGGGCCTTATAAAGATTTATCAAAGGCCACTGGAAGGGTATGTGCAACTACAAAGGGGAAGAGAAAGGTTTATTCTAAAGTTCTTCTTGTTGTCACAGGACCGCTGTTGAAAGTCAGCAGGTCTGTGTGACGAAGGCTTCTTTCCCTCCATTAAATTTAGATCCACAAAGTTGTGCTATGAAAGCTATTATCCCATTGTGTCCATATCCCACTAATTGTCACTGAGCTGTGGCTGGTAGGGGCAAGAAAATAACATGCATGAGCATAAGTACAAGAATGCTGAGTTAAGAGGAAGAGCAGTCCGATGTCAAGCAGTAAGACTAATAACTCTTTCTACATTTTTATTTTTCATTCATCTCCATACTTCTCAGTCTATCTAGTTGATTCCTTCCTTTTTTCTTATTTTCAATTCTTACTCTCCTGACCTCAACTGGGCCCAGCATGTCGCTAATCTCTGCTTAGGCCAAATCCCAAACTTCCATATAGGATTACAAAAATCGGGAGTGAAAGGACCATTGAGGTCATTCAATTTATCTTCCTCTTTACTGCAGAAATCCAAATTAAATAATTGCTGACATGGCTGTTCAGCCACCGGAGGGAGAGACCATTTAAAAATTCTTAAAGGGTCTCTGTCTTAAAGAGTTCTAAGAAAGGTATTACAAAAACTGGTAAGCTTCCTGTGTAACTAACTATGGTGTTTGTTATTGTGTTCCCTTTAATTTCACTTGAGTCTTAGGTTTTTCTTGGTGACGTCTGTAACTGCAGATAAATCAAGAAGCTGCTTTTTACCATCATAGGATTTGTTGCTAAGGTGATGTGTTTGGAAAAGTGTTTAGGCAAAATCTAAAGAAGCCCACCCACACATGCTCCATGAGTTCGGTTATCACTCAGTATATTCTTGATCGTTCCAAGAACACATATCTATTTCCAATGCTCACTTCACCTAAGTCACCTGTTGAAATGCTAAATACTGTATGTCTTACCTTGAATAATTGAACACCAATGCAAGCAAACATGAACTGCAGCAAGGTGGTGACAATCATGATATTTCCAATGGTGCGGATTGCTACGAACACACATTGTACCACGTGCTGTTTGGGAAAGGACGCACACGGGGAGAGGAAGAAATAGTTGAAAATACACTTTTCAGCCCTTGTGTCATCTGAAAAACCAAAGAGGGAATGGGACAGAGAGAGGGCCCGCCCCTTCACAGCTTACATGCACCCGTATGTGAAGCAAGAAATGGATGGGTCTATCCAGTTCTGCATTGTAGGACAGCTTTCCCCAGCCCAGTGCCTCCTAGATGCATTGGGCTGCATTTCCAACTTAGCACGGCCATATCTAGAAAGCACCATATTGGGAACATCGCTCAAGAACCAGCATCTATTCTTCCGATAAGTCCTCACCTTCAGCCCTTTGGCTCGGTTGATGGCTCGGAGAGGACGGAGTACCCTCAGTACCCGCAAGATTTTCACCACAGATATGGCACTGGAGCTGAGGCAGAAACAGATAGGCAGATGTAAAAGCCAATATGCCCATACCCAGCCATTTGGGCCCACTTTTCAGATGGGATGCCTGGAGCTTAATGTTGCTCCTTCTTAATCCGTTTTGTTCTTTGTCAGGGAGCATACTTATCCTTTGCATATCCTGCTTTCCAACTTACTGGATGCCAAAAGAGATGAGTGAGACACTGACAACAAGCAGATCCAGGAGATTAAACCAGTTCCGGCAGAATGAGCCCTTGTGCAGGAAGGCACCATATGAAGTCATCTGTAATGTAAAGATGTTAAAGCAGCTGTGTGTCTCTCTCTTCCTCCCATAGGTGTTGTGAGAATGAAGCAACTTGGAAATTAATGCCTGGTTATTTTGCTGTAAGTGACTCTGCTTCATAAATCAAGTCAGCTATATGCAAGAAGCTACCGTCAGTACAGATCTCTCCCCTCCTTCAAGGTTCATAAAGGCATTTTTGTTCGTTCTAAAGGCTGTACTGGTTGGTATGTTTTTCTGTTCCTTAACAGATGGTATATGCCAACACTGTATTAGAACAGACCGACATCACACCCATATATAGAGAACACAAAAATAGATGCAATCTCATGGATATTGCAATTATATTTTTAAGAAAAGTTACATATTTGCAATTATGTTTTAAAGAAGACAGATTACTTCTGATTAGGCTTATAAAGATATGCGTTACAAAGTATGAGCAATAAACTCTGAGAACTACGGGGATGCCTTAATATGACTTCCGGAATCAGATGGACTTCCATGCCTTGTACACCCCTAGCTCTTTCCAAATAGACAGCAAGATAAAAATATATATGTAGATAAATACAGTGGCTTAGGATAGTATTTTAGTCTAGAAATATGCAACATTGAACATACATTAAATAAAGATTTAATCTCTTCTGATATTTCTGCCCACCTCTCATGGCACACCAGACACATTCTACCCTAGAGGTAAACTGATTTCAATACTGAGTTATCTGTTACAATTATAAACAAGAGGATATTCTCAAGTTCTCAAATCGTGCAACTCAGACTTAAGAATACAAACATGTCTTCTACGTCCAGAATTATTTATAAACACATGCTAAATAGCAAGAGAAATAAGCATTTGGATACTTAGTACAGAAACAGAGAGTTCTCATGCCTTGACATTTATTCTTGGAAGTTCTGGATCTCTATCCCAATTACATTTACATTTTACGGTCTCTTGCAGTTCATTCTGTAGTTTTCTTTAACCCACTCATCTGCTTCCTACCCTATAGTTTTAGTATCCACAAGGCTGTATGAGTGATATTGTGGCCTCTAGGATGTAGGTTTCATTTCTGGAGTTGATAGGCTTTCCCCTTTCTTTACTCCCTTTGCCCTTACTCTACTTAGTCTCAGTACCTTGAGCAAGATCTCAACAGTGAAGATAGATGTGAAGGCATAGTCAAAGTAGCCCAAAATCTGAGTAATGGGAGAAAAAAAGAAAAAAAAAGCTGAAATATAAAAGCCAAACAGCAGAGCGAGCAAGACAGACAAGTGTGTGGATGAAGGAAAAGGAGGCGCTTTTTTTGCCTCCACCTCCTTTCTTCCATTCTTTGACAACATGGGTCATAGCTTACATTGTTGCGGAAGGAGTGTGCTCGGATGGGATCTTCAGCTGCCAAAGAGATGCTGCTAAGAATGATGAAGACAAGGATGAGATTGGTGAAGATGTGATGGTGGATCAGCTTGTGGCACCCAACACGAAGGCTAGTGGAAGAAGGGAAGGCAAGTAAGCTAATAACGTAAGGCAGAACTGATCTGAGATCCAAATTCCAAAAATCAGGAGGTGATGCTCTGGGGCTAAAAAAAAAAGTGTGACAGAACACATATGGAATTTACTCAAATAAGGGCAAAATATGCATGGTAAATTTGGAGAAAACCCTGTGACCACAGAAGCAGCCCCGACATATAGCAAAGCCACTGGAGGGATATACATTAAAATACATTGGTGGTATAGCAATCTCCTGAAATATCAAATGCCAGGAAATGTGAACCTAGATCAGAAGCAAAGGACTTGGTGCCTTTTCTTGCACTAACAGGGAAGCCGTTGAAGGAAACTGGGCTGTGCAACAAGATAACCTGGGAAACCACAAAAGAAGGGGACTGCAGTTCATCAGCCCAGCCAGACTTGAAGGCAGTAAGGGGTCTGGCTGACTTTGTATCAGTGGTGCTTCAGACTGGTTCCTCGGTCTGAACAACTGGTCACTAGAAAAGCCATCCAGGCCCTTCCTCCAATCTACATGCTGTTAACTTGGCTTCTGTCTGCCTCAAATACAGTAGTTGGATTTTGACTAATTGACAAATTGCAGCCCTAATCCCACAGGCTCTGACAGTAGAAGAGGGGAAATCTTGACCTCACTCTACAATTCTTATAGGCTGAACTCACATTCCCATAGAGCCAAAAGATATTCCCCTTATTTTCCACTTCGTATACTCACGGGTTTGTTTGACTAAGGCAAAAAAAGGCGCTTCCCTCAGGAATTGGTACAACTTTCTCCTTAGAAGTGTCTTCCAGTTTGTCTAGGTGGGACTCTCCCAAACTCTGCTGATCTGCCACCTCTTCCTCTCCTAAAGCAAAGGAGACTTCAGTTTTGGATGACCAATTACATAACGATAGACATGTGCACAGTGCATTAGAGTAGGTCAGATAAATTTCTGTCCCCAAAGAGCTTATGGTTTAAAGCAGTGGCCCCCAACCTTTTTTGTGCCACGGCCTGGTACCGGCATCACAAAATGATCCTTAGCCCGGTACCGGCATCAGCACGCATGGCAAGGCATGCCGAGCGACCGGCCAGCCAGCCGTCCCCCGCTTCTCTCTGCCACCTTCAACTCCTCCTTTGTACCTTTGTCGATGGGCTTCGGGATGGCTTCGGGACGGTCGCTCGGCTCGCCTTGCCTTGGGTGCTGAAAGAATCCTCGCGCCTTAGTTTTGTTTGAAGCCGGCCCCCCCCTTCGATGAAACTAAGGCGCGAGGATTCCTTTAGGACCCAAACGCCGCTTTCCAACCGGAAAAGCTCACCGGAAGCACTTTCTCATCAAAACAAGATGGCGGCGCCCAGCAAACCGGTGGCCCAGTAGAAAATGTTCCACGGACCGGTACTGGTCCGGGGCCCGGTGGTTGGGGACCCCTGGTTTAAAGTACAACATCAGAGGAAGCAGTAATTAAAAGGGTGGAAGTAGTCAGGTGGGGATGGGTGAGAATGGTTCAGTTAGGCTAAACATCTGAACAAGGAAGAGATCCAAGAAGTTATGCAAAGAATTAATGCAAAATATGAGATTGGAAAGGATCATGTTAAAATTCTAGAAAAGCAGTCCTAGTCACAGCAGGAAGCACAAAAGGGCAGAGTCCTTGAAATGATCTTTGGATATATCATGATTTACTAATATTCAAGTTAAAACCAGCTTGATACTATTACCCAAAATAGCTGCAGCCTTGAGTTAAGCAGATGGCAGTTTCTAGACAGGAATCTTAGCTTATTTATCTATATATTTTATATAGTTGCTGGCCCTTCCAGAAAGCCCATTTTCCAAGGCAGGCATTGGACTTAAAATGCCTCTTATGTAAGAGGCAATAAAGATGAGATTACAGAACAGAGTTGTATCATTATGCTTTTCATAGTACAGAGGAGGTATAGTACCAACTCAGAGCATAAGTTATCTGTGTGAACTGTCCAAGGTCCTGCAACTTTAACTGTGGCATGTTTTTATTCTCCTGCCAAATAATCTCCTTCCTGGAATCAGCAGAACAGGTGAAACTAATGAAGCCTCAATAAGTGAAATCAGGAGAGATATATCAACAGAGGATGGTGGACAGTTGTAGCAAAACTATATAGGTATGAAAAGTTTGTTCCCAATCAAGAATGGATAGAAAGCTAGTTTGATATAACCGATCCATGTTCCTAGTCAGGCATCCAAGTCCTGTATGCAACTGCTTAAAAAGCATTATTTTTCCCTGGAATGGTCAATGGCCAAAGAAACAATAAAAGTTATCAGCAACAAAAACATCAACTATTCATATTTACTAGGGCCAGCTTTTCTCTTCCAGCTTTTACTTCTCTTAAATAAAAGACTACTTTAACTTTGCCTCTAAAGAGACTTTCCAAAACATAGTTAATGGGTATATACACCCTGAGTATCTACATTTCATGTTTGAGATCCTTCTGCCAGATTTCTAGTAGCAAATTTGCACATTTAGATAAAAGAAAGATACATCTTTATTCTTGTTTAGTGTAAATGCAGAAAAAGAAGCACAGATGAGGGGAATAAAGCATCAGCCTGTCAGGCAGTGACCCTTAGTGGAAGAAAAGAAGTGCTACAGGAGGAATTCTTCATCTGTGACGTTTTGTAAAGGATGAAAATGTGTTATAATTGTGCCATCTGAAACAATTACATGGTTCAAGGTTGGAGCAATTATGGGTATCTGCCTGTGCCTCCTAACTTACATGTCTCCCCATTATTCTAGGATGCTATTGGTATATATAAAAATTGCTAAGTAACAGCAAAAAGGGAAGTCTGTGAATTTCAATCCATAATCAACGTACCTAATTTCTCTTCCTTTTTTCCTTGCAGTTAGTGGCTGTTAAATAGCCCAGAGGAACTGAAAAATAGTGGGTGTTACTGTCTGTTTGAAAGTTGTTTTATGTGGAAAAGAGCATACAGAAAAAGAAGCCGAATTATTAATCTGGCCAGTTGTAAATTTTCTACTCAGTTTCAATCCTGGCTAAAGTTTTTTTCAAGTTTCCTCTGTGGAAAACATAAATAGCTCTATTTCAGTTTAGTAGAAAACCACAGTCAACCATTGAAGCAATTTGGCTGAAGTCTAATTGCAAAATCTCATTGCAAACCATCAGTTTAGGTCTCTGTTAAGAGCTATCTGTTTTTCCCTTGAATTATTTTATTTAGAAGAGAGAAAATAAGAATTTAGAATGAAAGAGGGGAAAAAGAGAGTGAATATCTCCAGGGCCTTCAGTCGTGACCCTTTCCACTTCTTTCTTCAACCTGCCTACCACATGGCTTCCAATAGACTATCAATAAGAGAATGCAATGCTCACCCACAAAAATCCCCACCCTTGTATAGGAGTCAGTCATTATGACTCTCATAGTACTAGAATCCCTTTCTTACCTGCTCCTTCATTACTTTCTCCTACAGCCTCCTCCTCTTCCCCCTCTTCCTCACCACCTTCTACCTATAAAGAAAGAAATCAGGGAGGTCCAATGTGGAGAGGTATTTTAATGAAAGAGGGACTCATCCCCAAAGTTTCCCAATTATTTCCTGTAGCGTTCAAGGAAAGGCATAAGAACAACTTGTGCAAACATGCAAGGACACAACAAACAATGAAAAATGAGTATACTTTTCTCCTACAAATCTTCCCCTTGCTGCCAGATATACTAGATGTTTCTTATTCACATATATGCTGTACTTGCATATAAACCAGGAGATGGGGATATAAATTGTAGGTGAAATGAGACATTTGGGTGAAGGGAGGCTGAAAAAAGAGTCTGAGACAATAAATGCAATGAGCTAAAGGCAAGGCCTTAGTTCACCACTGCAAGTTCTTACTTGAAAATTAGTTGTTTCTAACTTACTCTATCTGGATAGCATAATATCAAAGACTGAAGTATGCCCTATCGTGTAATAAATATGGTTGGGTTGAATTTGGTAAAAAGGTGGAAATCTTGCCAACAATAAGGCTGATTTTAGATTGTGGAAGGCACACAGAAATTGTCCAAAATACACACATAGACCAACAATGCAGAAATGTCTTTGGAGAAAGGAGAGATGCCCACAGAACGCATGAAAGCCACAGGTCATAGCATCGACTTCAATGGCACCAAAACCCTAGCCATTATAGAAAACCCCAGCTGCAGAATTATCAGAGAAGCCATAGAGATTGAAAAAAGACCTGAAAGCATGAATAGAAGAGATGACTCCACCAGACTGTCAATTATCTGGAAGCCTGCACTCACAAACAAAAAAATCTCCACACCACAAGCCAAGCAAACACCTGGGCACAAACAGACACCCCCCACATACCTCCAGCTCAAACATACCCCAATCAGCCACCCAGATAAAACCTAGCTTCCTAATAAATGATAGCCATCCATTTACTCGAAGCCAAGCCACACTAAAAGCCTCCAATACAGGAAACAAACAATGTTGCCAGCCAATAAAGACAAAAAAAGCTACAAAACAGACAGAAGATATTAGAAACACCAATCAAGCAGAACACAGCAAACTCCAAGACTAATAAACACAGACCAAGACTCCCAACCAATCAGGATGAAGAAAAAACCATTCTAACACAGCAGTAGGCTAGCACCAAATTTAAAACAGAAACGGCTGTGAAAGCCTGACTCACAGATGAACACAATACAGAAGCCTGATGATGGCAGATGAGATCCTGCCAAAATGTCGCTACAACTTTAAAAGCACAACTATAATGATGTGGGAAAATACCCGAAACTAACAAAATCTGAGAAGGTATCTGTTGCAATGCTGCTGTTTCCAACCAGATGTAGCTGATACCCGTGCCTAACATAAAACGTATTAACACTTGTCTTACAATTTCTAGGCTGCCTGGAGTCCATACTTCTGGAGGGAATCACATTGGGGAAAAAAACATTAAAATGTGAAACACTTCCCTTATTGATATTTATAGCTACTGTATCAGAGGTGGTATTCAGCAGATTCTGACCCGTTCTGGAGAACCGGTAGTATCAATTTTGGGTAGTTCAGAGAACTGGCAAATACCACCTCTAACTGGAGATTTTACAGTATCCTTCCCCTGCAATGGCCACCAAGCCACGCCCACAGAACAGGTAGTAAAAAAACCTGAATCCCACCACTGTACTGTATCCAGGGAACTTGAATCAGAACCTAAGTTTGGACCTCTCACCTTCAGTGTTTTCTTCTCTTCCTCTTCGTTCTGTTCTCCCTCTGCTGGTGCCTGTCTGCATTACAACAAGAAAGGCATTGGTGGGAAAAATGTTAGAGGACAAAAAGGAAAGGAAAGGAAAGGAAAGGAAGTCATTAGATTTTATCTTGCATTTGCCATCTGAGCTTCTCAGTATTCTTCTATATTCGAACCTCATTTAATGAAACACTTCTTGTATGTATTGCCTTCTTAAATTGGAGAACTGTACATTCCAAACTTTTACTTAAACAATCCTACTGCAGTACAAATGCCCTTACATGATGGTCCCCAAACCCTGGACCACAGCCACTACTGGGCTGCGGCCTATTTGGAATCAGGCCACAGAAGCGCTGGGCCAATGTGCATATATGCAGCTCAGTTTGCACAACTGGTGGGCTGCCGTGCATGCACGTGTGTGCACCGGCCCACCTCTCGCGCAAGTCAAGTTGTACGCACACGTATGCATGCTGGCCCACCACTCATGTGGCCCAGTTCCTCCCTCTCCCCACCTTCCCCAGCCAGGCTGCCAGGTTGGGGACCACTGGTTTATAGCAGTAAAACAAACAATTTTACAAAGTTACAAATCAAACAGCTATTATCTAGTCCAGAGGTCTCCAAACTTGGCAACTTTAAGACTTGTGGACTTTAACTTAGGAATTCTGGGAGTTGAAGTCCACAAGTTTTAAAGTTGCCAAGTTTGGGGACCCCTGAAAGTTGAATTTCTTTCCTATCCTGCCCTCACTTAGGTTATGCTCACTTCTCTTCTTTGGAGGAATTAATATCGTCTCCATCAGCAAGATTGTCCACTGCAATAGCCAAGAAGACATTGAGTAAGATATCTGAGGTGAGAAGTTTAGAGAAAACAATCTGATATAAGAGGAAACAGTCCTAATTCAATTTGAAGACACCTGAAGAACAGTTTTGTAGTCTTCTCTTTCTTTCTCAAGTAGGGACTTCCAAATTAAAGATGGATTGCTCCTTCAAAGAACTAAATTGATTGCTAACAAAAGGCTTGAGCATTTAAGCCACAAGGCCCATAAAAGTTGAGCCTAGGACTTTATGTAGCCATCCTTTGTTATAGTGGAACTCAATATAAGCTCTTAAAAGGTGATCAACATTTTGATCTGCTTCCCAAAGAGAATTAAGGGTGGGTGAGACTGACATATAGTAAGTAATTTATACATTAATTAGCACTAGAGAAACCTCTCATAATTCTCCTGGCCTTAACATGCAAATAATATCACTGCCAACAGCAGGGTCAAAGGATACAGTTGCCGCAAATAAAGAGAATGATGAAATAGATGCAGACCAGCATGCCGGGAAAATAGGGGCCACCGTAGGCCATGATCCCATCATACATCACTGCGTTCCAATCTTCCCCTGTCAGTATCTATATTTCACAGTTGGACAGGGAAAAGAGCAACAGCAGATTAGACAATTCTATAACCCCTCCCCAATAAGAACTTCTCACAATCTTGTAGTGAACAAATACTAGTCTTGATCCAGTGAGGAGGTATTTTGGAATCCTGGTTCTGTTTGGTATAAATTCACAATTTAAAGATGATTGTGAATGGCAGGAGGTAATTCCGAGCTATTTCAGTCACATACTCTCCTGGCTCACTTGGATTATTAGCAACTATCTGTTAGCTCTTCCACACGTTAACATTTGAACGGTGGGTATATAACACAAACTTTAATTATATCCTCAGACCCAGTAAAACAATATTCTCTTAAGCATAACCAGCTTTGCTTTCTTCATATTAAAATCCATTAAGAAATCAGGACAAATAATTACTTCTGGCAGCAAAATGTTGCTTTTTTATATTTAATGTTGCCAAGCATGCGAGGAAAAAAAAAGAACTTTAATTTCTTTAGGTTTATGCATTTCAGGTTTGAAGCAGAGATGACAAAGGCAGGGCCAGCTTGGGTGAGTATATAGAAGAGACAGAACTTTATGTAAGCAGAGTTAATAGAGCTGCCTCCACACATTTTGCTCTGAAATGTTTATGTTCCAAGTGGTGTTTTTTTTCTCCTTTCGGGATTTAATTTCAGTTCTGGAGTACATCAAGGAGAAGCCAATTGGATTATAATACTTTTAAAGAGAACTTCCTGGACTTACCTAAGTGTAAGCAAGTATACTCCTCCATCCAAAATGTACACCTATTAAAATTCTAACATGCAACGCTGAGTATTTATACCTGAGGTCGATTACAATATGTCAGTAAACCTATGCAATGTTGTTTCCTTGACTATTCTCTTAAGCTTTTTTCAAGAGCTAGGCTTCAACCGTACAGAAATTTGAAGTTGCTCCTAAAATGATTCATAAGTCTAGGGAACCATTTTCCTAAAAGCCATTGCTATTTCCCAAACCTTGAGATAGTGCTAATTCTTGAATAGCTTTAAGAATAATATTTTCTCAGCCTAAAATTTAGAGACAAGTATTACTAGCAGCCGGATGCCTGGCATCTATTTCTTGAAAGTCATTCACAAAATAACTAATCATATGAATCACATCTCATATATTTTTTCATTAAGAATCAGGACCAAAGAAAGTGTTTTCACTAACTCTAGGAAGTACATGAGTCATTCAGGCTCTAAGTCAGAACAGGGAATGTCAACTCCCCAAAGCACCAGGTAGCATGGCCGATAGCAACAGACTGTGAGAACTGTAACTGAAAACGTCTTAGAACGCCACCTAGAAATGGTGGTACTGGCCCTTAATCATCTTCTTAAAGGTTCTAGTCCACTGGCATCATGTGTAGCCTTTTACCTGGAAGACAGTGAGCAAGGCTTGGGGGAAAGTGTCAAAGGTGCTGCGTTTGGTCTGAGTCTCATCAAAGTTAAATTTGCCACCAAAGAGTTGCATGCCTAGCAAGGAGAAGATGATAATGAAGAGGAACAGCAGTAGAAGTAAGGAGGCAATGGACTTCATGGAATTCAGCAAAGAAGCCACAAGGTTGCTCAGGGAGGCCCAATGCCTAGAAGGTAAGCCATGGAAAAGTAAGCAAGCTGAGTAGCATGGAACATCCATCTTTAGAAGTCACGGGTTAAGTCAGAATTATAGAATAGCTTTTGAGAGCCACTGTGACAGGGAAGTCACAGAAATAAAACAGTGTTGTAAACTGCCTGGATATCAGGCAGCTAGGAAAAGGTTTAGCTATCCATGTATTACTAAATTATCAACATCTCTCACTACTTCTCCACAGTAGTTCTGCTAGCTAGAATTACAATATAGCAGCTGTCAAAAAACTGTATATTGGCGACCTAGGTCTTTCAATTGTTTTAATTTTTTTCTTAGGGCATTACTGAAGAATGGTTAAGTCTTACATGAAAATTATTTTCTACATAATTATTTCCTATTTTGGGTTCAAATTATCTACCTTTTATGCATCTTTTTTTTTAAAATCTTGATATCTTTTTCTACAAGAGTGACTCAGGCTAAAATCTCTACTTGTTTTCTTGAAAGTAAGTCTCAGACTTAGTGAGGTTGAATTCAACATGCTTTGTGCTTAATCTTGCATGCTATAGACCATAAAAAAAACTATTTTGTAAACACAGGAAATACTTGACACTGATGGTTCAAGGTCCCTTCATGTTTCCAATTTCCATATCCTCTAGAAAGCCAGACAATCCCACTTAGTATATCATCTGTCAGCTGCATTTAACTATAAAGGAACTGGAAGAATAGTAGTAGCAGCAGCAGTAGCAGCAATAGCATATTCAAATAATCTTCTCCGATGGAAATTTCAGTATATATCATAAGTAAATGTTATTAAGTCAAGCAATCTGAGTGAATGCTTTATCCCTGGCTAATGGCACTTTCCTTACCTGGTTACTTTGAAGATTCGCAGGAGGCGGACACAACGGAGCACGGAGATTCCAAGGGCTTGCATGATCTCGAATTCTACCAGGACAGTCTCCAAAATCCCACCACATACCACAAAACAGTCAAAACGATTGAAGAAGCTGACAAAATAGGCTTGAAGGCCTAGGCTGTACATCTTCAGCAGCATCTCCAGGGTGAACAGTGACAACAATACTTTATTAGCATAAGCTGCAAGAACAAAAGGTATGGGGCAGAAATTCTCAAACTGTGCGGTGGGTCATTTCAGTCTGTGGAAAAGCTGCAGAACAATTAAAAGTTTCTGCTTCTAATAAAGGAGATTAAGGTATTTTATTTAAGACTGGGTTTCAAAAGAGGCTATGGCTATGATAATTGTATAGTCCTCGACTTACAACAGTTCATTTAGTGACTGTTTGAAGTTCAATGGCACTGAAAAAAAGTGACTTATGTCCATTTTCCACATTTATGACCATTGCAGCATCCCCGTGGTCACATGATATTTGTATGCTTGACAACTGACTCACATTTATGATGGTTACAGAGCCCTGGGGTCACATGACCTTTTGCAACCTTCTGACAAGCAAAGTCAATGGGGAAAACAGATTCATTTAGCAACTATGTTACTAATTTAATGAATGCAGTGATTCAGTTAACAAATGTGACAAGAAAAGTCATAAAATGGGGCAAAATTCATTTAAGAAATTTCTCGCTTAGCAACATAATTTTGGGGCTCAATTGTGGTCATAATTGTACAATGGTTGTATTATTTTTACCATGTTAAGGGGCCTTCCTCAGCCATCTGGCTAAGACCATACTGTATCTAGTACTGATTTTGATGAAAATTCTAGCGTCAAAAATAAAAGTTTTAAAGGACAATCTCTGACAAAGACTGAAGAAATAATAAAAGTACAGAGTCACCATATGGAACGCAACAGAGTATATTCTCTGGGAGAGGACTAATCAAACCTTTGCTCCTATTGTGTAATATTTCATCTGAAGTCTCACAGTACACTAGATATCATACTGCTTGTTCTCAGCTCTGCATATTTAAAGAACAATAACATAAAAATAAAAAATATGAGTCATCCTCACGTAACAACTATTTGAAGTTACAACAGCACCGAACAGATATATTTCCACTTAATTCTCAAAGTTACAGCTGTTGGAGTGCCGCTACGGTGACATGATGAAAATCTGGACCCTTGGCAGCTCACCTATATTTACAACTGCAGGGTGCGCTTCAACAGTCACTTCCCCACCGCTTTCCTCCACAATCTCTGCCTTTTTGGCCTGCTGCACTCCACTACTCCTAGCTGACCTTCACTGTCTTATTCCTGCTGCTGACAAAGCAGGTCTGACATGGCCATTCATGAGGCAGCTTTTTGCTGCAGAAGGCCTACTTTTCTCCAGAAGTTTCCTCATAACACTATAAGAAGTGGGCCTCGTGTAGCCAACAGCTGCCTCGTGAAGGGCCAGGCTGGATGTGTCTCATTATCAGCAGGAGCAAGTAGATGGGGCAAAGAGCAGCTAGCACAGCCTATGGACCACAGTGCAAAGTACCAGCCATAGCCACCCTGGCAGAACACAGGGTGGCTATGACTGGTTCCTTGCACTGCGGTGCTAGGCTTGGGGCAGCTGGGGCATCATACTAGCCTTGGCCCCTGCTTGTGCACCCTCCCATCCCCAGCAGCAGTCACCCCAGCCTAGAACCTTATGAGGAAGTGGATTTTGCCAGAACGCTCCCAAAAGGAGATCTGATCAAGAGACCGTGCAATCCCAAGTTGGAAGGGGGAAGGGAAAAGAAGTTCAGGGCAACCACACCCTAGAATTTCTCAGGATGAAGCTTAGAAAGTCATACCTTTAGTTTGGCAAGATTCTACAAGCAAGTAAAGAACTGGACTCAGTTGGATCTCACCATCTCATTTCTGGACTTGATCCTGAGATACTGTACCTCCTTGCAACTTCCTGCTGGCTTCCCCATTGACTTTGCTCGTTGGAAGCCAACAAGAAGTTGCAAGGAGGGCCTTGCTTAATGACCTGTGACTCTCATTTAATGATGGCAATGGGGACTGCCAGGATTGCTGTCACCAAGTGATATGGTCACACGATGTTGTATTGACAACTGCGTGACTTAGCGATGGAAATTCCAGTCCCACTTACCATTGTTAACCGGGACTGTCTATATTTCACTAGGGTAGAGAAAAAAAAGAAGAAGAGAGAGGATATTTTCCCAACCTTCCCCATGATCTTGACAGCTGAGAATAGCATATGTCTACATGTGCTATAATTTGGGGCAGACTGGAATTAAATCTATTGCCCTTAATGCATTTTTGTCAAGCCTACAGGGAGAAATAATCAACACAGAGAAATGGCCAACTGGCAATTTGTCAGACAGGTTGGCATGGCAGCTTCAGCAGGAAGGGGCAAATTAATACATAGCTTCCTCAATCTGGGATCTAACAAACAGCAGAACTATACTTGCAGGAAATGCAGGGGATTCCAGTACAGATGCATTAAACAACAGAAGGGAAATGATAATAGTGCTTAGAGTCTGTCTCACATCATATAAGAGTTTCAAAGTGATTCACATGGGAAGTTTTGTTCTTTACCCCCCCACCTCACCCTACTTAAGGTGGCAAGCAACTTTGCGCAACCCATATGCATATAGGTGGGTTCTTTGGCTCATAAAGAAAAGCAAAATTACTTTTTTTCAGACATAATGAATACCACCAGAAAAGTGCATTTCACATACTAGCTATATACAAAAGGAGTGAAGTGGAAAATAACAACACCTGACATGATAGCAGAATTTCTGTCTTATGCACTATATACTGTCTCCTTGCCCTCTGTCATAAGACATGGAACAATTTATAATGGGACAATATAACATAATAGGAGGAAAGGAAATTTTTAGGGGTAAACCTGCTCAGTTATAAGACAAATTGGCAGCCTGCAATAAATTCAGGGTCTGGATATGGAGAAACAAACTTCAAATTAACCCTGGAAAGATGGAGAGGCTCTGGGATTTTGGTCTTCGAGGCCTGGGTGATAGTCCTTCTTTAACTATGGATGGGCTGGCCCTTCCCCAACAGAACTTGTGCACAATCTGGAGATTGCCCTGGACTCACGGCACCTACTTGTGGGTAGCAGCTGTGGCTAGGGAGACCTTTTCACCAATTTGTCTTGTGTGTCAATTGAGCCCTTTGCTGGACCAGAAGGCCTTGCTGCTGGTCACTTATGACTTAGTCACTTCCCATTTGGATAACTGCAACGTATTGTACATGGGGCTGTCCTTTTAGACAACCCAGAATTTGCAAGTGGCCCAGAATGCAGCAATGATGGATGCCCCTATATTTACCCACATTTCATCCTTGTTGCATGAGCTGCACTGGCTCCCAGTTTCTTTCAAGATGCAATTCAAGATGCTGGTTATTACCTTTAAAGCCTTATATGGTGCAGGACTAAGTTATCTGCAGAACCACCTCTCCCTAAAGACATTTGACCGCCCTACTAGATTTGCACACTCCTAGTCCCTGTCTTTAAGTATTGCCATCTTATGAAAACTACGGAGCATGCCTTTTCTGTGGCAGCCACTGTCCTATGGACATCCTTCCCCCTGAAGCTAGCAGGCCCCCACCCATTCAATCTTCCAAAAAGATCCACTTAAGACTTGGCTTTCCCCCAGCAAGCACTGGGATAGGGTGAGATTGAGAAGATGAATTTATTGTGGGCTGCTATAGGCTTTGTTTTGTTTTGTTTTGAATATTTTTTTATTTTACACAGATGTTGCTTTATCTTTTGGTTGTGAGCCACCCAAAGTTTAGTACAAGATGGGGTGTTATATAAATGTTACAAATAAATAAATAAACTGTATAACTAATACTAAAATTGTTTTAAAAAAGAGGATGATGAAAATCTGCAGTTTATATCTGTAATTGGGGATAAAATATGTGTAATCTGCTACAGGTATTCCTCCCTCCAATCAACTGTGTCTCAAACTGAATTCAAAACAATGAGTTCCTGCTTCTCGGCCCTGTGTTGAAAAATTCATTTCCCGTATGACTATCCAAAGCAGCTCTAATCCCTCTGGACAAATCTCACTTGTTTAAGGTTGTCTCTATTTACTGTGTCTTGTATGTCACCTTGGATTTGGGTGAGCCAGTAAGGCTGCCTGTAATGTTCAGAAGCAATGGTGAGGGTATTCAGAAACACAAGGAGTAGAACCATCCAGTAGAAAGAGACAGATTTGACAGCCAAACGACATTTCTTCCGAAAAAGTCGGTTGATGCGCTGTACATGGCGGCTGGGGCACAAAAGGAAGAACAAAAATTATTGAACAGCCTTGGGGCCAGGCAAGAATGAAAAGCCAAGCTGTTATACTCACCCAAATTTGGTCTTGGAAAGCTTTCCTCTGTGAAAAATAGAAATGTAATAAAAACTCAAAATGAATTCTTCAGTTAAAGCTGAAAGACTCAAAGAGAAGTTACAAATCTATCTGGGATGCTATGGAAATAGTTCCAAATGAAATTCCACAAATCATTAATACACCCTAGAACATCTTTTCAAAATACAGAATCAAGAACCATTTTTTAAAAAATTGGCTGTCCTCCCACAGGGGTGGCAATCCATGACCACATGCAGCTCCTCTGTCATCTATTTAAGACCCCTTAAAATTTGTTAGCAGAATGGTGATTTTCAGCTGCACATTTTGGATGGCAAAGTTTTGGGTGGCAAAGTATGGATGGCCTAAGGTCTCTATATGGTAAAACATTTCAATTTCCTTCCCCCTTTTCTCTCCAACCCAGAGCCTTCCACAAAAGGCTGAACATTTGAGCCTACTCCTTTCAGTGGAATGAGTGAAAGGTCTTCTACAGGTTGCCATCTGTCCAGCAGGATGAGTTGCTGCCTTGCCTCCCCTTCCTATTTAAAGAGATTACTGACCTTTGGCTTGCAGGTAGAAAAATGCAGTTTGACAAAGACATTTTAATGACATGAATAGAGACTTAAATTTTTCCCATTATCATATATGCAGGCTACTTTTCTAGAAGTCAGTATGCTATTAAAAAAATAGGAAAGAACAAAACAAAGTGACACCTCTGAGATAGAAACTTTGGACAGAGATTTTTCACAAGTAGGCTTCAGCAAGGAGGCCATATATTCAGCATGTCCATTTGCTCAGCAAATTTGCTTAACTGGTCTATTAGTTAATAGAGGGAGGAGTTCAGTCTGCAGTAAGAAGTGCTTATTGAAGCAGGATTTAATCAGAGACATGAGATGCAAGCTTAGGAGAAATTAGCATTCTCTAGAGGATTTCTTCAAGGCAGGCAAGAATATTAAAAATAGTAACAACTAAAATCAATTTAAAATTAAAATTAAAAATTAAAATCTGATCAGTTATCAGATATAAAGTCAAACAATCTGTCACTTAAAGAATCATCTTCTAAATCAGGTGTGTCCAAGCTTGGCAACTTTAAGGACATCAACACCCAGAATTCCCCAGCCAGCTAGATGGTGAATTCTGGGAGTTTAAGTCTTCAAGTTGCCACGGTTGGACACCTCTGTTTTAGATGTTGGTTGCTTATCTTATTCAGACTAGAGTGGAACCTAAACACTTGATCTTAAAATTTAGAGCATCTCTGAAGGACTTAGATGGACTTGGTCCGACAATGGAAGACTGAAAACAGATTAGGGACTTTGCTTTCTCAGTCCATCACTCTGATATCCTTTCACTTGGAAATGCCAGGAACCCAATCCCAAAAACTCTTACCCCAGCAGAGAAGATACTCAAATGGGGGGGGAGGGGGGGAGGCAAAAGGGGGCAACCTTTTGGATTCCCCATTAGCTTCCTAGAAGAATTAACTTGGTCTGTAGAACACTAATAATTAGCATTGTCCTGCAGCTCCCAGCCCTCCTCTCTGTGGCCAGGCAAACTCACAAACACACATCATAGCAGTGGCTCCGAAGGTGCTCTTCATCTTCAACGTTCTCCGTGTTGACTGAGGTACTTTCGCTGGCAGGAAGACTGGCTGAGGAGAGAAAAGCAGATGAGGTTTTTTTTGGGCGGGAGGGGAATAATCCCAAGTTCTTCCTGCAGTATTTCTGTTCCCAAAGACACCTGCCACCATTGAAACCGTAGGACTGACTCTTCCTCAGACCCCCAGTTTCATGCCTTTACGATATGCAGAAGGGAGATAGTAAATACACTGACCTTCTATGAACAGACTTTTCAGATTTTTTTAAAAATTGCAAATTTTCAAGGCAACATAAACAATCAGCTTAAATTCTCTTTCAAATGACATTATATTTTCCAGATATTCAGGAATGAATGCAGCTATACTATCTTATATGCTTAATACAGGTAGTCCTCGACATATGACCACAATTGGCATCAGAATTTCCAATGCTAACCAAAGCATTGCTAGGGGAGTTGTGCCGAATTTTACAACTTGTGCCATAGTTAATCACTATAGTTGTTAAGCGGTTGTTAAGCAAATCCAGCTTCCTCCATTGTCTCACTGGGAATATCACAAGTGGTGATCCCATGACCCTGAAAACATTGCAATCATCGCAAATACATGCCGGTAGTCATAAGTGCAAGGACTGGTTGTAAGTCACTTTTCAGTGCTATTTTGCCTTTGGGCATTAAATAAGGATATAAGTAGAGGGTTTCATCAGCTTTTACAATGTTACTTCTGCAGTGGAAGTATAGTACATACCTACTAATTTTAATTAATTATTAATTATTTAAAGAGTCAAAAGCCTTTTTATCCCTTCATCTGTTCCTCTATTACCTTTTTGAATTAAAAAATGTAATCAGAAACTTTATAAATAATAGATCACAATTCTGTGAAGATTGGATGAGCCCGAGTTTCTTAAATGAGATACTGCAGATTGAAGGGACTGTGATATCACCCTCCTATTAATCATGGATCCTGTTTGACCAGCAGACCCGGAAACTGGCAAAGAGTATCCTATCGCTGCAATTATGCCATAGGGAAAGGAAAGACACATTGTGGCAATTGGAAATAGATAGGAAAATTCAGTCAGAGAGAAAAACATTTGGATAAAGAATTGCCATAAGGGCATAGAGTAAGAAAAATCCAATAATCAACCAAAAACAAAGAAATAAAAATAAAATTCCTCAGCATAATTACCAAATAGGCATGTGAAATCAACAGACTTCATTCTATAGAATAAGGAATGAGGTGGAAACAGAGTATCGAGGGCTTTCTCTGCTTAGCCCTTAAAGAAAACTAAGCATGGACACAAAGGAGTAAGAAAACATTGAAAATTACTGTGGCTGTCGGAGGAATGACTGCTATGCTTGAACCATTTCTTCTTCCTCTTCTTTTCCATCAGGTCGGCCACAGTAATGTCTTCCACAAAGAAGGCACAGATGAGAGAAAGATTGGAAAAACATGAAGGGAGGGATCAATAGGAAAGGGAATTATTTAGGAACAAAATGTGTGGGAATGGATGGAGAACAATAAACGATGAGAGCCAGATGACAGAAAAAAAAGAAATGTGGTGAACCCTCCTTACAAATGCCTTGTCCATTTCTTTCCAAGCCATTAGAACTAAAGAGCTTGGAATTTCAAGACTAGAAGCAGCTGTCATTACCCCAAGTCTCTTCCCATTGGAGTAGTGATAACTAGAGGTCTTCAAATGGAGAATGAATTTGGATCCTGAACTAAACAAGGCTTTGACTAGATAACATTTAAGGTCTCTTGCAACTCTATGATTCCATTTGGTTTGTGTCTGTTCCTCTAAATTCTATACATATTGATTAGCATAATATAAAATGGGAGGTGCATGCTGCTTAAATGTGCCTTTTAAAACATTTATTACATATTTAATCAACTTTTGATTAAATGTAATAAAACATATTTTATTACTTAAAGAAGAAAGAGTCTGTGCTGTTCTTCTTTTGAAAGTTGCTGAAGAATTTATTTCATTGTAAACTTTTTTCATTATAATTTTTTTTTAAAAAAAATCTCCTTAAAAAGACACAGTAAGTAGCACTGAAAAGAACTATGCTTGAGACAACTGTACTATTGTCTGTTTGTTAAGAAAAATATTTCCATTTTACTAAAAATATTTTCTAAATGCCTTGTAAAAAGCGAGTGAGGAACTTTAGCAATTTCTCTGTATTGTGGGACCACTGTGCAACATATTAGCGTTCATTTTTGGAATGAGATCCCTGAAACTTGTTTCAATTGAGAGAAATGCAATTTGATGGGCTGAACAGAAAAAGTAACCTTCATTTCTCTCCTCTGCTCTCAACACTTGTTCAATGAACCCAAAGCAGCTGATACAGCTCCAGTGAATTAATTGGCACCAGGAGATGGATTCTTGGAATTGAATGCCATTTTCTCAGGCTACAAATTATAGCTACAGGAAATTAAAGCTGCCACTAATTGGCCAGTTCTGGGCTCTGCCAAAGGGAAGAGCACAACCACTGTGTCTCTTACTGCAACCAAACTGCCATTAGGGTGAGAAAGAAACAATTGATGCAACATGAAGAAACAGAAACCACCAAGCTATCAGCCTGTTCTGCCCTATTCTCCACTAACTCTATTCCTGGGACTAAGCTGGCATGTGCCGCTCACAGTGAACTTGCTGTATGCTATTTACTGTACATTCACACAACCGAAGCAGCACAAAAGCATTCAGAATAAATAAGTAAATGACAATCTCAACTATGTATCCCAACACATTCACATTGGAGTCCTCTGCCCTCCTCATCCCAATCAGAATTCCTTTTCAAGCTGGCAGTTCAGTTGGCTTTTCCGCTAATCTTGCATTGCTGTGGCTTGGATTGATTCCTCTCTAATCCCCTCATATAGAGCTGTTACAGATGGTAACATCCAGGCTGCTAACTAAACCATTTCTAGAACAGCGAAGTACAGACTCTGGCAAACAAGGGAGGGAGCTTGGCAAGAATGGTCCTGAAAGCTCTTACAAGTATGCTTTTCACTTGTCTCATCTTTTTCTTCATCGGGTTCAATGTCTTCTGCTTGCATGAGCCAATCCAGGTAGCCCTTCAGATCTTCTTCCATCTGTTGTTTCTCTCGTAGCTTTTGAAAGTCTCCCCGGGCTTTTGCCTTCTCTCGTTCCTTAGAGAATTCCCTTTGGATGGAAAGAGGTCAAATTAGTTGACTGTTTGGACAACATCTGAAAATTTCTATGAAGGCCCTCCTTGCCTTTGATGCAGCTAGCTATTATGTGCAGAGTATTAACTTTGGACCTTGTTTCCTGAACCTGTTTTATAATTCAAATGTCCTAGCTGTAGTCCAATTATTTTTCCTGACCTCTTCCTTCATGTGTCTCATGTTTAATTGGATGATGAGAACAGGGACATTACCTGTTACTTTTTTCTACTGTTTTTCTTTTTTATTCTAGACCCTTTAGGGTTTTTCTAATGAGAAAGAAGGCTGTTTTAAAAATGCAAAAGTACACAGAACCACATTATAGCCCCCATAGCTAGACTTGAAAATGTGTAAGCCATATTTGCTGAAATCTGAAAAAGATTTCAAAAGGCAAGAGTTCCAGGCATTGCTTACTGCAGTTCTTTGCCCTTGATTCATATTGAACAAAAGTAGGATAAATTAGACAAAGCAGGCACAAATGTGTAAAAAAATGTTTGCGTAATTTAAGCAGATGTGAACACTTCAGTTTGGATGCTTTTTTTCTCTATCAAGGAAGATAAATACATTCTGGTCACGTGTCCAATGTTCCAAATCTGACTTACCCACTTAACACACCCAAAACCAAATTAAGCACAAAGAAAGAGCCAAAGATGACAAGGCTGACAAAATAAACCCACGGCAGTTCATGACCCACTGCATCTTGCATCTGGAATAATCAAACAAAAAATACTTAAGGAATCATACATCAAGAGAGGCTGAATTGTATGAATTACTACAAGGAAGTATGAACAGAGGAGCTTTCTATTCCTTTGCCCAGAAGGACTTAACTTACCCAGTAGAGAACATCAGTCCAACCTTCCATGGTAATGCATTGGAAGACAGTAAGCATGGCAAAAAAGAAGTTGTCAAAATTGGTAATTCCACCATTGGGTCCATCCCACTTGCCACGACATTCGCTATTGTTTACTGTGCATTCCCGACCGTGTCCAGAAAAAGCACAAGGTGACGGGTCTTCCTCAGCCTCCAGATCTGCAACAAGTAGAAGATGAATCACAGTGATGAGAGAAACAGGATCATCTAACAGATTTATTGCTCAGCTGAATCAACTTCCAAAGTATGCTAAAATCTCTTATAAATCTCCCCACCATACTTTTAGCCCTAGACCACCCAAAGGAGGCACATGAATAAAACTGACTCACAATTTCTGTAATTTCATTAAACCCAACATAAAAACATATTAGCATACCACTTTTAAAATCTAGACATGTGATTAGGACATATGACTTATCTTGAAATGATCTTTCAATTGAAGTGGAAAATTATTTAAACAAGTAGGAAAAGATGTGTTACAGAAATCTTTCATAATCTTCAAAATGATTACTTTCCAATCAAAACTTGCATTTCAGAAAATTTAGCCAAATACTGTACCTTATTCTACAAGGATGAAACAGAACTGTTTCCTTCAGTTATTTCATATTTGAACAGAACTAACTTTCAATTGTGCTACTTTTGGAAGCGGAATTGTCTTGCCTAGGACTACTGTACAGTAAAAATACAGATTACCACTGGATGCAAACAAGGGTATTCTGAAAACTACATCTTTGCTGTCCTCTTATATAATCTGAAGTTTTTAAAATATAGCTCTGACAGACTTGTGCTATACTTGGTGAATTATACCTGAATCAATGATGAAGCAGGTCTTATGCATGCGACCAATGAAGAGCTCCAAGCCAATGATGGCATAGATGATGATGACAAAAAGAACAAGTAGTGCTATGTGCAGAAGGGGCACCATGGCTTTCATGATAGAATTCAAGACAATATGCAGACCTATGAGACAGAAACGTTTAGGATACAATAACACCTTTTCAGAGCACAAGAATATCATCCAGCATGAAGGGTACAATTTCAACTGGCCCATCCCAGGAATACAGTGCTGAACAGAGAAATTTCTCTTTTCCCCTAGCACAGTGTTTACTAACTTTGACAACTTTAAGATGGGTGGACCTCAACTCCCAGAATTCCCCTGTTAAAATCCACCCATGTTAAAGTTGCCACAAATTCCCCCGTTAAAATCCACCCATGTTAAAGTTG